TATTTTTCATTTTTTTGATTCCTGACTAGTTTTCTGTCCCTTATGAAGACCCACCATTTGTAGAATATTCCAGAATATGTTACATACGGAAAGTTCCTTATATTTTTTGAAATGGTACGTTGAACTAGACTTTTCATTCGGTTTCAAAAGGAATTTCAATTTGTCTGAAATATGGGTGACCAGTAGATTGTCCGAATTCCGTAACTCCAAAGCACCATATGGAAACTACACAAAACAAATGAAACAGTCAATGGACAAACGGTTTTGTTTGTTTTGTGATTTAGAGTTCCACTTGTGGCGCCAAATAAATGAAGATGGATGGGGGAAAACTAAGATTGATCGTTAGGGGATAGTCATTAAAGGTTGGTTTTCAAGTGAGAAGTGACCAATAGAGGGGGATATTGAAGGAGCATTCAAAACATGTTTATATGTATATAATATATATATAATTAATAGATATATAATTAATAATTATTAAACTTGTGCATTGAGTTTCAATCTAAATGTAATTCATTCGAAATAAGCCTTGGCTCTTTATAGAACTCTAGATCAGAGTCAGGACAGTAGTTTTATATCTGGATCATCAGAAAGGTGCACAAAGCAGGTACTCTTCCATAAAAGGATCCAAAGCGTGTATTAGACCCTAGCTCACTGCTAGGTTTTCTCAGCAATCTGCTTTCAAGGTGCGCAGGACACATTGGTCAATTATCTCAGCAGTGTCAAAATAGACGGTCACTAGTAAAAATGACTGAAGAAAGGTTTTCATCAACTGACAGAGGTTTGAGAGGTTCCACATAATGATATTAAAGCTTGAAAGTCCAAGTACCAACGTTCTTTTCAAGTTCGACCCTCCAACAATTAGTCAAAATTCTCCATCCTTCATCCAATGAAAAGGTGAGACCTAACCTGGCTAGTGTATGAACTATTTCAGCTTACAATGCAAACCAAAGAAATCCAAAAGTCATTCAGGGTGCTTATCAGTCCACTAGGTCATTCGAATGATCAGGTTGCTACCACATCTACTAGACTCATTCCACCAGTGATGTCTCCCCAGAATCTGTGGTTAATACTTCTCCAGAAAGCTTACTCAAAGCACTAATCTGGTCTTACTTTGAAACTTTCACAAAGTCTTACTAGTTAGATGGTAAAAAAGTATTGACTGCTCAGTTAATCTAAAAGGTCCTTAACAAAGCTTCCAGTTATCTGTGGATTCTATTTCCCAACCTAAGTCCTTATTTTTTTCAATCATTTGTGAGTGGAAGCAGTTGTATAACTGTTTCATTTTCAGCATCTAAATTTCCATCCTTTATGTTACCACATTTCTGAAATTTCTGAAAACCACTGAATTCATCTGTCTTCAATAAAAAAAGGCTGTACACATCATTAATTGTACTGTATGTGTCTCATAATAAATAAATAATATTGTATTTTGTATTTTCTCTCCAGTACAGGACAGCAGCAAAAGTGAGAGATCTACAAATAAGTAGAGTGTATCCACATGTCTACATTTTCATGGGATTTAGCCAGGAAAAGAAAATTACAGCAGCATAAATACATGTGTCCTTTTATCCAGAAGGTTAAGGGAGTGCCAGTCTCAATTTTAAGGTAACACATCACAAAATGTGTCACTTGCAATCCGGGATAGTTAGGAGAATGCTTCCACCTTTAGGTCACCAAATTATAGAAACCAAATGATTGAATCCTCAGTCCAGCTTGAGCTGGACGTGGCATTTATTCAGCTATAAAACAGACCTGGCAACGTTTGGACCTCTGGGAGGTCTTTGTCAAAGACCTAGGTTTTGAAAGGTTGCTAGGTCAGCTCTATGGCTGAATTAACTCAAATTTAATCAGATCTTGGACTGATAATGCATGTATATAAATGACAGCCTGTCTAGTGTTTGCAGAGCAATATCAAGCCTCGCTAATATGCAAATTAAACTTTATTTAGCAGTTTCACTCAGTTAGAGAGCATCTAGGTACCATTCGTTAGGTCTTCGTAACATTGATAAAGTTCCACCTTTAAAATTCAAAGCAACTGCATGTATTTATGTAAATTCCTTGACTTGTTTTATAATTTATCAGAACTTGTAATAAACTCACAAAATAATGTGAATGCCTTTGTATTGTTTCCATTTTTCTTTTGTCTTCGACTCCTTTATTACTTTACATAAATTTGCACAGAAAGCAAGACAATATTCTTTGATGCAAGACTTACACTTGAGGGAGACTATGCTTTCATAGAAATACCTAAGGTAGGATTTGAAATTTAATGAACTTTTTCGCTGTACTATATTAGCGGAAAGACTATTTTTTATTGATGAATAATATGGAAAACACATTCATTTGATTTGCGTCCGCCAGTTTGTGATCACAAGCTTTCCCAATGAACACAATCGCACAAAAATCCTTTATTTGCATTCAAAAGATTATTTTTTTTCCTTTCTATAAAATGTTGATGAATTCAAGCATACATTTTCTATAACAGGTGTTCTATTATTGATAGATTCTTGCTGTGGTAGACACGGACGTTTGCTTGAATTTTAATAGACTTACACAAAGATTATAAGAGCACTTTTTACGATTCATATTCTCAATGTATGCATGAGTGTCCTTGGCTCAACAGTCAATTTCTAGTTGCAAGAGAGATTACACTTCTGTACAAATAAATATTTTTTCTACGTCTTCCTTAGCTGTTTTCCTATCCTATTATAAATAAATGCTTATTGAGGAGTAATCAAACGCATCTGTCCTATCTATAAGTTAATATTGTTTTGGTATTAAGAAACATTATAACTATGGGGATATTAGAGAATACTGGTGCTGTTTAAAATACTATTGAGTGAAGAAAGAAATTCATAAACACAATCAAATAATAGCACTTAAATCAGTTCAGTTAAACTGGAAAACTTGTTTTAGTACTCAGACCGACATAAGATAGATAGACAGACAGACAGACAGACAAATAGATTAGATAGAGATAGACAAACAGACAGACAGATAGACAGATTAGATAGGTAAATAGATAGATAGACAGGCAGACAGACAGATAGAGATAGACAAACAGACAGACAGACAGATAGACAGATTAGATAGGTAAATAGATAGATAGACAGACAGACAGACAGATAGAGATAGACAAACAGACAGACAGACAGATAGACAGATTAGATAGGTAAATAGATAGATAGACAGACAGACAGACAGACAGATAGAGATAGACAGACAAACAGACAGATAGACAGATAGATTAGATAGGTAAATAGATAGATAGACAGACAGACAGAGATAGACAGACAGACGGATAGACAGATAGATTAGATAGGTAAATAGATAGATAGACAGACAGATAAAGATAGACAGACAGATAGACAGATAGATTAGATAGGTAAATAGATAGACAAACAGACAGACAGAGATAGACAGACAGATGGATAGACAGATAGATTAGATAGGTAAATAGATAGATAGACAGACAGATAGACATAGATGGATAGATAGACAGACAGATAGACAGATTAGATAGGTAAATAGACAGATAGACAGACAGACAGAGATAGATAGATAGATAGATAGATAGATAGATAGATAGATAGGTAGGTAGATAGATAGATAGATAGATAGATAGACAGACAGATAGATAGATAGATAGATAGATAGATAGATAGATAGATAGATAGGTAGATAGATAGATAGATAGATAGACAGACAGATAGATAGATAGATAGATAGATAGATAGATAGCATTGAACTCTTTTTACTCATCACATGTTACATTATGTTACATTTGTGAATTCCAAACCAACCATCTGTAATCTCAACATATTTGCAAAATTGTTGATATCTGTCAGATTTGAGAGAGGAGGGCACACAACTTAATACAAGTGCCCAAAGATCGGTGGTCAGATATAGGGAAATGACATGCCACATCTTTGGCAAAGTCAATATATCTGCAGGTATTTGAATGTCAAAAAAAGTTTCCAAAAAATGTAAAAAAAAAATATATAATTATATATAAATTATTCTTTTTTAGTTTTTCTACAAATATTTACTTTAAAAAATATATATTTTGTTGAAGTAGTAAGTTTTGCTATTCAGTGATATTTCTATACAATATTCATACCAATCAGCATTGGACGATTCATGTACCTTGACAGATGGAATAAACTGAATATTTAAATTAAACAATGGTTATAGATTTATTTTACGAGGAGTCTTGTCAGATTGTGCCATGCAGATTTATTTTATAGTTCATTGGCATGCACTTCAGAGTATTCAGAATGGTTTATTCATGGAAGAAAGAAGTCAAAGAAGAACAGATTAAGACATCTTCGTCATGCAATCATTTTTATGTAAAGTCTAGAATTAAGTACTGTCACCTTGAGTAAATGTGAGAGTCTGAGATATTTTCATTCATGCTTAAAAGAACAAGGTTTTCCACTTATAATTGTTTGATTGCAAAGTCTCTGTTCCCTGTAAGAAAGTCACCATGGTCTATGCAAGGAAATCTAAACTAGCAAACATCTTTTACAGAAAATAAATACTCAAATTTAACTATTTGAAGTATTTAGAAAATTGTAAAACTTGCACAACACTGTATTTAAACATCATATATTCTGTCAGCATTACATTTTCAGTGTTTGAATTCTATCATCGATCTATCTATCTATCTATCTATCTATCTATCATCGATCTATCTATATGTTTGTCTGTCTGTCTTAACTACCTCTCTGTCCATCCTTCTGTTTATCCTCTATCTATCTATCTATCTATCTATCTACATGTGTGTCTGTCTTACCTACCTCTCTGTCCCTCCGTCCATCCTTCCATCTGTCTGTCTGTCTGTCTATCTATCTATCTACAGATATGTGAACACCCATACTAATTATTGAGTTCAGGATTTTCACCTTCATTCATTACTAATAGTGATGTCCCGAACGGTTCGAACGGTTCGCCGAACGGTTCGCCGAGGACGGCGAACATATGCGGTAAACTTTGACCCTGTACCTCACATTCCAGCCAATCAGCAGCAGACCCTCCCTCCCAGACCCTCCCACCTCCTGGACAGCTCACTAAGAATGCAGCTTCACAATGAATGTAAAATGGATGCTGTCCAGGAGTTGGGAGGGTCTGGGAGGGAGGGTCTGCTGCTGATTGGCTGGAATGTGTCTGCTGACTGTGAGGTACAGGGTCAAAGTTTACCGCATATGTTCGCCATCCTCGGCGAACCGTTCGGCGAACCGTTCGGGACATCACTAATTACTAACATAGCTAATACTAATACAGTGGGACCTCGGTTTACGAATATAATGTATTCTCCGGGACGTTTCTTATTGCGAAACATTTTTAAACCGAAACACGGTTTCCCATTGGAATGCATTGAAAACCAATTAATCCGTTCTGAAAGTCAGAAAAAAGTCAAAATGAGCTGGCATTGGATTTTGGCATGGAAACCAACCCACAATGCAGAACACACAATAAAAGACATGCAAACGACGAAGATTATGTTAACCGAGGCGTTTGTAAACCGAGGTCCCACTGTATAGGTAATGGTCTGTACTGTAGAGCTCAGTGACTTTAAATGTAGTATCTATCATAGGATACCATCAGAATTCAATTTGGTTAAGGTAATAATACATGTATATACATAATCATCTCTCTAGTTACACTACACTATGCAATCTTTACTATTGAACTATTATATCACCTAATATTTCCTCTGCAATATTAGTGTTTCTGAGGCTGCTTGTTCAGAATTATTCCCTCTTCAACTTGTTGTACAAGACATATTGTTACAGTCATTGTGTATTGGTATTATTTTGTGGTATATGTTTTATATAAAAATTCCACATTTCTATTATTATTTTTTTAATTAGTAGAAGAACTATAGACAAAGAAGAGTAGCAGACGCTCCCCCAAATCCCATATTGAGAAGCAATAGCGTTTTTATTTCCCTATAATAAAGGGTGGATGATATTTATATATCTGCTTACTCTTACATCAGAACCAACACTTTTCTTATTATTGATCAATGCTGGAGTTTAATGTCAGGAGGCCACTAAAATAGGAGATTGATCTGATGAAGGTTTTGTGATTATCTCATAAATACAATGGGTTGAAAGTGACATGCAATAATCTACAGTTGTAATTGTATTTTGAACTGCCACTTAATGTGACTGACTTTTTAATATTCTCACCACCACTCGGAGTCATCATTCATCGTTACATCACATATTCTATAGATCTTACTTTCAAATGGTCAGTCAATGGTCTGTACGAGCTGTCGGACGCAATGCAAAACGTTCAGTTGACTGTTACTTGAAATCTTTAATTTCTGTTACTTTAAGAACACTGTATTGACAAATAAATATCAGCAAAATACGAAAATGTGTGTTAAATTATTTAACGCTGTTGTTTTTAAAGCAACAAGATAAAAGTTTAGCTCCAATGAAACATTTGCAAAGCAGTGGTGGAATGTATGGTCAAGGAATCCCACAATGTATCTCTTGTGGATCTCCATCTTTGTGTCCACTCCTACATCCAAAACCTTCTGCATATGTTGATGCACATTTTTACAGATAATGTGTTTGACGGTTTAAGTGTGCTCTCCTGGTGGTCAGGGGATTGTATCCGATATCTCTAAATGTGTTAGACTTTAAGTAATTTTTCACTTTCAGGAGATATTGAGAAGCGAGGGCCTGAGACTTCCTTTCTTAAAGAAGCCTACTCCACCTGCACTGTCGCCAATTTCTAGATGGACAACTCATGGGTTTATCCACTAAAGTGAGAATTCAGAGTGAATTTAACATTTTCGGCTTAAAGTAGCAGAACTTTTTCCTATTCTGCTGCCATGACCTAAAAATTGACGTTCACTTTTAATTCACTATGAGTTCTTACTAAATTGAATAACCCTGACAGTGTTTTATTGTGCCTGCTTGGTGATTAGGGGGAGTTTCTCCCTGATTGCAGTCGGTAGTGGACATGGAGGTCTACCCATTAATTTGGTTTCCTGTCCTGTGGAATGTGATGCTGAAAATCTGATATGGAGCAATAATGGACAGTATATATTCGAGGTTGAAACTTGTGATTGCATTAATTAAATGTTACTTCAACTATGTACTATTGCACTTGCAAATAGGTATGGGGCACCAACCGAAAATACACCAAACTTACAAAAACCCAGTAACTTTCCAACCATGAGCGAGTCGGGGCTCCAGAAAACTCCAGCATAGAGATGTTGCGAACTGTCCGCCGAACTGTTCGTGAACTGTCCGCCCGGCGAACAATAGCGTGTTCGCGTTGGGCGAACATATCCGATTTCCGGTCCGTCCCCTATACGTCATCATTGAGTAAACTTTGACCCGGAACCTCACAGCCAGCAGACACATTCCACCCAATCAGCAGCAGACCCTCCCTCCCAGGAAGTGTCTGCTGACTGTGAGGTTCCGGGTCAAAGTTTACTCAATGATGACGTATAGGGGGCGGACCGGAAATCGGATATGTTCGCCCAACGCGAAAATGCTATTGTTCGCCGGCGGACAGTTCGCGAACAGTTTTGCGGACAGTTCGCAACATCTTTACTCCAGCACAATAACAAAGAGAATTTCTTATTTATGGCTTAAACCTTTTTGAAAGTCCTAAACAGACAGAAAACATCAAGGTATCCTCATTTCAAGTTTCCTGCCAGCACCCCTTCCTCATTTCTCTAATACACCATAAGCACAATTTGTCCTCATTGTTATTTCTGTGGATGTTGCTGTAGTCCACTGATTGCACTAGGTGATTTTGGAGGAACTGGTCTGAGTTCTATTTTTTTTTTATTTTCTTTGCATTAGATTTTCTCTCCCCAAATTCCAAGTTTACTGAACGTAATATACAAACCTGTTTTTTTTAAATTACAATCATTCCCTTTTTATCCATCTATAAGTATACAATTGTGTTACATTTTTGTTTAGTTTCTATTTACACACTTTCAGAATTGTTCTTCTGTTCTCCCTGATCAATGTTTACTAACATTAAGTGTTATTGCTTTAGAAGTACCATTTGGAATTGGTTTTAAGTCATGCATTTTGTAAATTGATAATGTGACCTAGCTAAAATGTCCCCATGTGCTTAATTTATTTGAGGTTCGAAACATTTGGCTTGTATTAGTCCCTATGGCAAGACTGTAATGACTAATGAGATCTGTTCACCGACATCTCCAATTTGTACTTTACGCAAAGAAAACTATTCTGTTATTAAAGGAACACTATAGTGTTATTAATACAACACTATGACACTATAGTGCCTTAGTCACCGTTTAAGGGACTGAGCCCCTGCTGCCAGGGTTAGAAAGGGTTTACTTTTTGGTGAAGCTTCGCCTCTTTGGCTGTGATTATCAAGACCCAATGTCTGCCCATAAGAAAACATTTAGCGGCTTGTGTGCATGCGCAGCAAAATGCCATGCAGCACCAGTCACATGATCTGTCGGAGATGATCTGATTGAAAAAATTTAGTTTTACTGCACTATTTTATGGAAACACCTCTAGTGGCTTTCAATATGACAGCCACTAGAGGCAAGTTAACTCTGCAGTGAAAACATTGATGTTCCAGCAGAAAAGCAATGTTTTACACTGTAGGATTAAAAAGGGGGACACGTGGAACCCAGACCACTTTATTGAGATGAAGTGATCTGGTTGCCTGTAGTGTCCCTTTAATGATTGGGCAAAGCTACTACTTAGTATAGGTTATTCCTTTTAATGGAATTTCTTTGAATATTAGTAAACTGTTGGAACAATATAGCGTTAATAATACAAACCTGTATGTCCAAAGCCTGGAGATGTCCAATGTCATTTCACGGAGTTAAACTCTCTTAGGTAGCAGGAAACACCTCTTTTGGTTGTCTGAAATTGCAATGTTTTATATTGTAGGGTTAAGGGGACATTGACAGTGACAATGAGATGAAGTGGTCTGGTGCATATAGTGTCACTTCAAACTATGAAATAAGCCAATATTGATCAAATTCAGTAATTTTCTAATAATTATTTTTTTTTGCCCTAGATATTTCAAAATCCAGTTTTAAAAGGGATACAATTTGCTGTTTAGTAAATAAACCTCAACTTATATAGGTATTCTACTACACACTGGTCTATTCTTCTGATTTTTTTATTTGTGCATTCAACCACTAAGGTCTGATTGTGTATTCAGCCACTAAGGTCTGACTGTAGATAAAGACAAGACATGTCTCCAAAAAGGCAATCTGTTCACTTTGCTCAGTGGACCAGTTGGTTCATGTTAGTTCAAGTATATTTGTTTGTTTTTTTATAGAAAAACTGCTGATTTGCTAATATACAAATATAGAACATTATGGAGTTCTAAAATGAGTGTATCGCACAGGCTTTAACAAACTGACTTTTAAAGATGTCCCTTAACTAAAGAACTATTTAAATAGTAGCAATTTGTGCGAAAAATAATATAGTGCCCTATCCAGAAAAGGGAGTATGGGAAAAACATGGCGGAATCATAACCTGGCATTTTTTAACCCCTTAAGGACACATGACATGTGTGACATGTCATGATTCCCTTTTATTCCAGAAGTTTGGTCCTTAAGGGGTTAAGTCCATCCACCAAAAATTATTGATAATTTCTATGTTCGATATTATGCTATGTTTCAGGGTGAGTTTAATCCCATGCAAGGATTCTGCCCATCCAGACATTTTTTGTTGTAACCACATAAGTTGCAAAACCAGTAGATTTGTTTATTTGTTTTCTTCATTTTAGTATTATTTTTATTAAAATAATCATAATGATTAATATTATTTTTAATAAAATTCTGCAATGGATTAAAATGAAGGACATATATAGGACGTGAATGCAAGCTAAGCTTCAGAGATTTGACTTTAATCCCACAGGAGTTGTCATGGTGACATATTACTCATTATAAGCCCTGGTTTTTCATTTACCAATTTTTATCTTCAGTTCATTTATGCCTTTGTATATGTACATGCGATTTTGAAAGTAATATTCTGTTCTCTTGATGAAATTTTTTTCCTAGTCTTTGTTTGGTATAATGTTTCTAGTTATCTTGGAAGATGGATTATCACTCATCGTGACAAACTTCTTGACAATATCAAAATTAATGCTATAATCACTGCATCCCAATCATCCGAGCCCAAGCAGGACTTAATCGATTCA